TCTCAGTCGGCTCTATAAGTATGCTCCTAGGGCTCTCTTTGGGCTTATTAGGGCCACTGCGGAACCCAAGCACTCCTGGTTCAACCTTGTCTTGGATGATTTGAGGTGGCTACGTACTCGGGTTTCCAGGCTGCGTGAATTTCCTAGTCCGTTCTCGGAGTTCGGAGCTTGGGAGAAGGAGATTCTTGGGCGTGGACAGCACTGGGCTAACCTGGTTCGATCTGGAGTGGAGGCACACATCCGTTGGGCTTGCCGTATTGAGGACGCACGAGCTCGCACGCAGATATTTTTTCAGCATGCAGCGCGTATTGGTGTGCCACCAGATCTATCTCTGACGCCGGCACCTGTGCCTGCTGTGCATCGCTGCCCTTTCTGTGAGTTCGAGTCGGCCAAGTGTGCTGCGGTGAAGATGCATATTGCTCGGCTTCATTACCAGCAGCGCTCGGTCGCTGCCAGATATGTTCACGGCCCTACTTGTTCAGTATGTCTTGTTCGGTTCAGCACGGTTGAGCTTTGCATTGACCACCTTGCGTATGGGAACCCGAATTGCTACATCACGGTCCTCTCCAATATGGTCCCTGAGGCTCCTGAGGTTCTGGAGATGGTTCGGGCCCAGGAGGCCTCTGACAGGAAAGCTGCTCGGAAAAAAAGGGGCTATGAGAAGGGGGGCCTGGCTTCCTGCTTATCGTGTTCCTGGGCCTCGTAATGTTCCGCAGCTTTCGTTTTTACCGTATCGGGATGCCTGGGAAGTTATCCGCTCCATAGCCTACCAGTTTGAAGATGTTCCTGAGCCCCTCTTTGAGACTCGTGAAATGGACCCCCGATATGAGGCCCTGCCAGAAGATGAACATCAGTTTGAACCGCTTGCGTATGCTGGCCCTTCTGCCGAGCATTGCCCTCGGCCGCTGCAGTATGCTGTACTTGCTTTTCTTCACCTGTTCTCAGGAGCTAGACGTGCTGGAGATGTTCAGGACGAGCTTGAGAGAGTTTTGGTTTCGGGCCCGGTGACTCTCATCGTTATTTCGTGTGATGTGGCCTGTGACGCTGTGAATGGAGACTTGACCAGGGCCGACATTGTTTCAAAATGGGATCAGCTTTTGAGAACAGGCCGGGCCATAGGTTTGATTGGCGGTCCTCCCTGCGAGACATGGTCAGCAGCGAGGTGGCAGGAGCTCAGAGCTGCAGACCGTTATCGTCCACCTGCTCCCCTCCGTACTCTCAAACATCGTTGGGGCAGACCTGATGTCAGTCTCCGTCAGCACCAACAGCTCTCCATCGGCTCTCAGCTCTTGCTCAGCCAGCACCAGTTGATGCTGACTTGCCTGGAGGTAGGAGCTTGTGCACTGAAAGAGCACCCTGAGGTTGCTCACTGGGAAGAAAGGGCACCCAGTTCGTGGCAGTCTGCCACGTCGTGTGCTCTGAGTGCAGCTCCCCCCTCTCGGACGGTCTCATTTGACCAATGTGTTTTCGGCCAAGTGAGCAAGGCCCCTACGACGTTTCTGTGTATTCGGTTGAGTTCCCTCGTGGAGGACATTTTAAGTCAAGGAAAAGGGGGAAGGTGCCCACATCCGAAGAAGACCCACACCACCCTCCTCGGCATTGACCCGACCACAGGAAAATGGCGTACGGCTCCCAAGAAAAGGTACCCTCAGGACCTATGTGCTGCCATGGCCAGGGCTGTCGCCCAATATGTGGAAGAGGCTTTCAATTTATGTGATCCCGATGATCTAGATTCTAGTGATTTACCTGACGAGCTGAGTGCCTTCTTTCAGGCCCTTGATTTATATGCTGCTGACACCGCGGAGGGACAGGCTGATATAGCTCTTGATTTTGCTGGTTTCAGATTGAAGGGGCCCCGGGACACCCGTTTCGACCGCCCCCTGGAGGGTGTTGCCCCTCCCCCACTGGCGGGACCTCTGCAGGCTCCTGTGGAGCCTGGTCCCTGGCCTGTGGAGGAAGATGATCCGTGGGCGGAGGAAGGCATGCTCCAGTCTCGTGAGGCGGCTGGTGTCCCGTGGGATCCCCAACCCCCTCCTCCTCCTCCTCCTCCCCCCCCCCCCGCCCGTGTAGAGCTCAGCGACGAGCTCAGACGCCAGATCCAGGCTCGGCGGGAACAAGCACGCTTCCGACGTGCTGTTCGGCGCTCGCTTCCAGCAGGAGGCCTCTTCTCTTCTGTGAATAGGTGTGGCGCGGTGGGATAGGGGACCCACCTTCTTTTTTTGTTGATGTATTGTGTCTCTCTTGCATAGCGCTTGATTGCCATTATATCTGTGGGGTAGGCTGACCATGAGCCTCAGAGAGTCAGAGTCAGAGTCCTCCTCCTCCTGCTCCTCCTCCTCCGCATCCCGCATCCTCCGCACCCTCCGCATCCTCCTCGTCCTCCTCGTCCTCGGAAAGCGTTGGAATCCAGGCTTCGAAAAGTTGAACTCCGGAGTTTAACGTTTGGACCTCTCCGACTCCGTTGAATATCTCAGCTTACAAATCTCAACCTCTGGAGTTTAAGATGTGTGAGCTTCGGAGCTCTAGGGCGCCCTCTAGGGGCCTCTCGGAAGGCCATTCCGGGTCCTCTTGGTAAGCTTTTAAATGGTTTTTTGGGGGGACCTGAAATAGCCTTTTTGGAAGGCCCTTGAGAGAAGTCTCGCGAGGCCCTCGACAGCCCTCTTGGGAGGCCTGCACGAAGCCTCTTGGGATGCCTTTTTCAGAAGCCTCTTGGGAGGCCCTTGAGAGGCCTCCTGTGAGGCCCTTACGAGGCTTCCTGGGAGGCCCTAGAGAGGAGTCCCTTACGAGGCCTCGTGGGGCAGTGTTGAGGCTATCTTGGCCTCTTGGGGCAATGTTGAGGCATCTTTCGGGAAATGTTAAGCCATCTCGTTACCTCTGTTCCGTTTGATATTCCCTCCGTTCCGTTTTACCCTCCCGCTGTTCCGTTTTACCTTCCCTCCGTTGCGTTTACTCCCCTTCGTTTCGTTGTCCTTCCTTCCGTTCAACGTTACCCTCTCTCGGTTCCGTGTTAACCTTCCTCCGCTCTTGTTTACCATCCTTCCGTTCCCGTTTACATGGTTTGCTGCTCTCAATTCGGTTGTACATTCCCTCCGTTCCGGTTTACCCTCTCGCTGTTCCGTTTTACCCTCCTTCCGTTTGCTTGTGTTTCCCCCTCCTTCCGTTTGGTTTTACCCTCCCTCCGTTCCATGTTATCCTCTCTCGTCCTCCTCATTCTCGTGGTCCTCGTCTTCGTCGTCTTCATCCTCCTCGTCCTCTGCGTCCCTCCTGCTCCTCCTCCTCCTCCCCCTCCTCGTCCTCGCGAGAAGGAGGACGAAGAGGGCGAGGATACTTGGGCTGAGGACCAGGAGGCGAGGACGCGGGGCAAACGGGGGAAACGGATTAACCCCGAATTCTGGAACGGCGAGCTTTTGCCTGGAGAGCGAGAGCCTGGTGGGGGAGAAAAAAAAATCGGAACTCCACAGCTCCAGGTTTTCGACTCTTGGATTCCGGGTCTACCCGCCCGAAAACTCCGGGATCTACTGACCCGGGCCAATCCAGACCCGGGCCAGTCAGCAGCGAAACAAAAAGTGACATAAGCGTAAAAACTCGGAGGTCCGCGCGGATTTCTCGGATCGGCGCTGGACCCCCTCCCTGGCGCGCGGAGGAGGCGCCGCCAGGGGGCCCCAACGCCGATCCGAGAATTCCGAACGGACCTCCGAGTTGTTCTGTTTATGTCACTTTTTGTTCCCCTAGTCAGGCTCTGCAAGATCCTGCAGGGTCCTGCAGGATCCTGCACCCAAGTCCGGGGCACTGCAACCCCGGCTCTGCAGGATCCTGCAAGATCAGGCGTTCTGACCGACCCCCGTTGACATTGACCACCGTGACTACCTAGCAGACCACCCCAACCCAACCCGAAGACCCGAATTCTGGGTGGGGGGGGGTACTGGCCTCATATGTTTTTTCAATGTTCCCCGACCCCCCCCTCACTGGAGATGGAGGGCAAACCAGGGCCTTCGGGTTGGGTTGGGGTGGTTTGGTGGGCGGTGACCCCGTGTCTGGAGCCCCGAACCAATCCTGGGCCTGGCCCAGCGCCTGCCGCGGCCCCGGGACTCTCGGCTCCACTCTGCTCTGCTCAAGTGGAAGCGCGAGTCACAGCCTCGAGCGCCCCGACCAAACCCCGCGGCGCGCCAACGCGCGCGCCGCTCCTCAGAGGTACCTTGGAGGTGGGGGGAGAGGACCCCCGGCCACGACTCCCAGAGGGTGGGGCCCCAGCCGGGGAGGCTGAGGGGGGCCCACGGGAGACCTGCGCGACCAAGGGCGCGGTTTTAAAAAACCCGGACCCAGGACCCAAAACGACACGACGGACGACGGGGGGACGACGGAGGGGGGGGAGGGAGGGGCCCGCCACGCACGACCCGCCCAGGGGAGGGCAGGACTGCGTGTGTGACGGGGAGCTGCCTCCGCGAACGTCATTGGCAGCACACCGCATAACGGGGCGGTGCCACCCGGGGCCCAGGCAGTACGGCTCGCCCCCGTAGCGGCAATCTGAAAATTTGCCGGCCTGACGGCAACTCTCGGCTCCAGCCCCGGCCCCCGCCTCTGCTCCCGCTCCTGCCCCGGCCCCAGCCCCAGCCCCGTCGGGAGGACGAGGAGGAGGAGGGGCCGCAGCACACACCCTGGAATCCAGAGCTTAAACCTTTAAACTCTGGAAAGTAAAGTTTTCAAGCTCCAGATTCCCCATTCTACGCCTCCTCCTCCTCCTCCTCCTTCTGCTCCTCCTCCTCCTCCTCCTCCTCCTCCTCCTCCTCCTCCTTCTGCTCCTCCTCCTCCTCCTCCTCCTCCTTCTCCTCCTCCTCCGCCTCCTCCTGCTTCTCGTCGTCCTTCTCCTCCTCCTCCTCCTCCTCCTCCTCCTCCTCCTCCTTCTCCTCCTCCTCCGCATCCTCCTCCCCCTCGTCCCTCCTCCGTCTCCACATCCTCCTCCTCCGCATCCTCCTCCTCCGCATCCTCCCTTCCCTTCTCTCCTCGGTGATGAGCAGGTCTACCCCTGGCCCAGCGCCGCCCGGCTCCAGAGCGTCGGTCGCGGCCATCGCCGCGGCCCCTGAGGAGGAGAAGGAGGAGGAGGAGGAGGAGGAGGAGAAGGAGAAGGAGAACGTGGAGGAGGAGGAGGAGAAGCAGAGGCAGATGCAGGAGCAGAGGGAGAAAGGGGGAGAGGGGGAGGGAGGCTAGGTGAGCCAGGTCTGGTGTGCAAGAGAGTGCGTGGTGGAGCGCAACCTCAATGCCCGGGGGGCCCTCCCATGCGGAAAGGTCGGGGAGCCGTCGGGCTGTCCCGGGGCCACGACGCGAGGGGAGACAGGGAGGATAGAGGAGGAAGAGGAGGACTTGCGTTTAGGACTTGCCTCCTCCCTCCCCATCTTCCCTCATCCCTGTGGGAAGAAGAGAAACAGGCGGGAGGAGGAGCAGGAGAAGGAGGAGCAGGGCGAAGAAGCAAGGGAGGAGCAGGAAGACGGCGAGGAGGAGCAGCAGCGGCGGAAAGAGGCGCCGGCCTGGTGGGTCGCCTGCGGCCGAGGCCTCACCACCCTGCGAGCACGGCATCGCACACCTGGCCGCGACCGCGGCGTCCACGTGGTACAGGTCGTATTCGTCCTCCGAAGAGGGGAGGGGAGGGGGGGGACCAGGGGGGAGGGGGGGGAACTTGGAAGAAAAGGGAGAAGGGGGGAGGCGACGGGGAAGAGAAGTAGCGAAGGGGTGGAGTCGGGGGGAAGGGGCGACGAAGGAGACCAGGTGGGAGAGAGCCGAGGGCATGGGGAGAAGGGGCATGGGGGTCCTCCCTCGCCTCTTCCCCCTCATACTTCGACTCATCCTCCCCCACCTCCACCACCTCAGTCTCCTGACAAGGCTGCCCACAGGAGTGCCATCTCCTCCTCGGTTGACAGCATCTGGTATTTGAGCCGCTTCCTCCAGGTCCTCTTCCCCCGCTGCCCGCCTGGTGGATGGCGACGGCTGCCTCCTCGATGGCGGTTGCGGTGGTGACAGGGGGTAGTCCCTTGTGTTGCCCATGCCTGTTCCCGTGGACCTGAACTGGTTCTGCTAATGTGCCTGTTGCTGTATATGCTGGCGTGCCGCGTACTGTTCAGCTCAGAAGCACTGGTGCATCTGAGCCTGGTACGTAGGAGACTGCATCATGTGGGCTTCCCGATCGGGTCCCATCATCGCTGCCTTGCTGCAATTGCCTTCTTCTGCTCTGGGCACTGTGCCAGGTACTTTCCAAGCTGGCTCGATGGGTGGTGCCGACGATGGCTTGACCGCCGCTGCAAATGCGGAGACGCTGCTGTCGGTTGGTACGTGCCTTCCAAAAGCCTCCTCCACCTCCTCCTCATCCTCCTCCACCCTCGTTCCACAAAGAATGGACGGGGAAAAAGGGAGCGGCAAAGCGGGAGAGGAGGAGCGTGGAGGGCCGAAGGAGGAAGGAACGACAATGGGAACAGCGGCAAGAGGAGACACATTCGATAATTCAATAAAGAACGCTGAATGGGGAACGAAGCCCCTTCGTCGCCCCAAAGGCGCCTGCGGGCACGAGGAGCGCAAGAGAAACAATCGTGGCAGGGCATAAGGAACAGCGAGCCCCTTCCGAACCCAATATGTTCTTTGTTTGGGCGTGTTGACTGGGTGGTCCTCCTCGACCTCGGCGCAGCCGCCCAGGTTCCAGAAGCACAGGCCCGCCTTGGGGGGTGTGGGGGGGGGCGCGCCAGTTCGTTCCCTCTCCCGGGAGGAAGACGGAAGAAAAGGACGGTTGAGGCGGGGCGAGGGGGACGGGGAGGAGCGACGGGAGGGATGCGAGGAGGAGGAGGACGAGGGGAAGGGGGAGGGGGAGGGGGAGGAAGACAAGCTAGATGCGCTCGCATCATATATGACATCCGACCCCTCCCTCCCATCCCTTACCATGGCGTAGATATCCCCTGTATTCGCACAATCGGACGTCGAGCAGGGCAATGATGGCGACAGGGTGTGCGATGCATGGTAAAGCACGGCAAGGCATGGCGTAGAAAAGCACGGCAGAGCGAAGCATACCATAGCACGGCGTGGCATTGCGCGGTGAAACATAGCATTGCAACGCAAAGCATGGCATCGCACAGCGGCGAAAACACAACACCGCAAAGCATGTCATGGCATGGCGCCGGGTTCCTTGGAGGGTAAGAAGACTGTCTTCGAGAGGTCTGGGCCGATCTGGAACCGCGGCTCCATGTCTAGCTCCTTGGGCTCCCCGAAGAGCTGAAAACTATTTCCCGGGAATCCTGTGTTAAAAATTACGCGCAGGGGGGCCGGAAATCTTCCAGACGTCATCATGGGAGAGAGGAGAATAATATTCATAGTGTAATTGTGGGAGAAGAGGAGGAGGAGGAGGAGGAAGAGAAGGAGGAGGAGGAGGAGGAGCAGGAGGAGGAGGAGGAGGAGGGGTTTCAGCAGTTCCTTCGTTCACGTGGTGAATTCCCCACCTTCTGGGCCCCGAGGTGTGTGTGGGTCCGCCCCAAGTTAGCCTCGTGGCCAGCTGGTCGAATACAGAATCCACCATCCCTTTCTCGACCTCTACGACCCGGCGATCCATCTTCTGCAACAGCTAACACGGATGGAGGATGGAGGGCGGCTCCTTCTTCGAAACGGGGCTCTCGCATGAGACTTCCGCGAAGCATACGCCCACGACTTTGACATCCTACAACCCCTACGCGTTCTTCTGAAAATGAGGCTATCCCTGGGCCTACTTGAAGGGCTCTCGAGTGGGACTTCCGCGGAGCATACGTCCACGATCTTGACATCCTGCAACGCTTAGACGGATGGAGGTCATGTGCTTCTCACGAGATGGGGGCTACCCTTGGCGTCCTTCCAAGTCGAGAGGATCCTTGAGAGACACCCTCGTCTGACTGGCGGACCGACCAGCCGCTCGTCATTCAAAGGGGGGGGCTCCCGCAGTGGAAAGGAAGATTTGTATGGACTTCGGAGGAGGCGACGTGGGACGGGAGGGTGTATTGCAGCATCGCTTGGTGCCTCTTGGAACTACTCTGGTCCTTCCTCCTCCTCCTCCTCCTCCTCCCCCCACCTCCTTCCTTTAACTGAAAAAATTCGCCCTGTCGCACCCCGAGGCAAGTTTTTAGGGCGGGCCGGGCGTTTCGCCTGAGACTTCCTCACCATTTATGACCCTGAAGCTTAACAATGGGCAGGAGCTTCACAGATGGAGGGTGGTTTTCAAAATGTGGCTCTCGCCTCAGCGCCGCGCACACTCGTTTTTGAAAACTTGCAAGAATGTCACGGAGTGAGGGCCACTGGTTTTCAAAATGCGGCTCTCGCCTCAGCGCCGCGCACATTCGTATTACAAATTTGCAAGGGTTTCACGGATTAAGAGCGGGTGGCTTTCAAAATGTGGCTCTCGTCTTAACGCCGCGCACATACGTTTAAGACATTGCAAGAGCTTCGCGGATTGAGAGCGGATGGTTTTCAAAATGTAGCTCTCGCCCTAGCGCCGCGAACATTCGTTGTTTTACAAGAGTTTCACGTATTGAAGGCGGGTGGTGTTCAAAATGTGGCTCTCGCCCTAGCACCGCGCACTTTCGTTTCGATAAGCAAAAAGCCTTCACGGATTGAGGGCGGGTTGTTTTCAAAATGTGGCTCTCGCCCTAGCACCGCGCACATTCGTTTTCAACATTTACAAGAATTTTGCGGAGTGAGGGCGGGTCGTTCTGAAAATGTGGTTCTCGCCTTAGCGCCGCGCACATTCGTTTTTAAACATCTGCAAGCGTTTCACGGATTGAAGGCGGTTCCTTTACAAAATGTGGTTCTCGCCTTAGCGTCGCATACATTCGTTCACGGAAATTTGGAAGAGTTTCACGGATTCCCATAATCGTACCAGACATGCTGTGTTGGAAGGATTCAGGATTATGCGGGCGCAACAATTATGTTGATTCGCAGTGTAGAAATCCCAATAGGATTCCGGATCATCAAGACAGTCAGGTTGATCCGTGGCGTTGACATCCCAAGAACAATTTGTTGGCATGCGTCAGGGTCTTCAAACGGCTGTCTTCCAACGAAGCAATAATTCCCCCAATGGGTGTTAACCGATGTAGGGGCCTATGAAGAGGGAGCTTGGAGGGAGGGCTAATTCCAACATCGTTGATGCCTCTTGATTTTACACTGGTCCTCCTCCTCCTCCTCCTCCTCCTCCTCCTCCTCCTCATCATCATCATCATCATCATCATCATCATCATCATCATCATCATCATCATCATCATCATCATCATCATCATCATCATCATCATCATCATCATCATCATCATCATCATCATCATCATCATCATCATCATCATCATCATCATCATCATCATCATCATCATCATCATCATCAATCATCATCATCATCATCATCATCATCATCATCATCATCATCATCATCATCATCATCATCATCATCATCATCATCATCATCATCATCATCATCATCATCATCATCATCATCATCATCATCATTATCATCATCATCATCAGAATCATCATCATCCTCCTCCTCCTCCTCCTCATCATCATCATCCGAACCCGCCGACCCCTTAGGGTCAAGGCGTGTGACATGGTTCCCCCTCCCCAAACCCTCCCCCCGGGAGCCCAGTCTGGCCAGTTTGGAAGGGGGGGAGGGGGGGGCAAAGGTGCCGGCCGCACCCTTGGAGCCTCAGGGGGCTCCAAAACGGGCCAAGGGGGCCCTACAAAGGCCCAGGCCCCCCGGACGGTCCAAGAGGGCTACGAGTCGCCGAAAGATCGCTCCAAGACGCCCAAGATTGCCCACAGACGGTCCCAGAGGCCTCCAAGACGCCCCAAGTAGCCACCAAGAGGCGTCCCAAGAGGCCCTCCAGCAGCAAAAATCGTCCCATTCCCCACGGAAAACGCGCAAGTTTAGCACATTCGCCTCCTGGGCTTTCACGAGGCTCACAGCGGCCCAAGAAGCCTTCAAGATCGACCCGGGCTCCAAGACGACCCAAGAAGGCCCCAAGACGGCCCCAGAAGCGGCCCCAAAAGGAGGCCCAGAGAGGGAACCCGACTGGACATATCGAGCACTCGGCCCCGAAAAAAAGAGGAGGCGCCAAGAAGCCCCCAAGAGGCTTCCACGAGGCCCCCGAGTGGCCCAAAAGAGGCCCCTAGAGGCCTCAACACAACTCCCAAGAGGCCTCAAAAGTGCTGCCAGGAGAGCCCAAAGAAGCCCAAGAGCAGAGCCGCGATCCGCCAACCACCCCCGACGAAATCCCAGAAAGCTAAAACCACAAGATTCCCCAGAAATTGCGCGCGTTCCGCAAACTCAGTTGTTCACTCTTACTGCCGCCCTAAGGGGTCGGTGATGCTGCGTCGGCCAATGAATCATCATCATCATCATCATCATCATCATCATCATCATCATCATCATCATCATCATCATCATCATCAGCATCAGCATCAGCATCAGCATCAGCATCATCAGCAGCAGCAGCATCACCATCATTATCATCATCAGCATCAATAATCATCATCATCATCATCATCATCATCATCATCATCATCATCATCATCATCATCATCATCATCATCATCATCATCATCATCATCATCATCCTCATCCTCATCCACATCCTCATCCTCATCCTCATCCTCATCCTCGTTCTCGTCCTCATCCACGTCCTCATCCTCATCCTCATCCTCATCCTCATCCTCATCCTCATCCTCATCATCATCATCATCATCATCATCATCACCATCATCATCGTATAAGCATCATCATCAGCAGCAGCATCATCATCAACAGCATCCTCATCCTCATCAGCATCAGCATGAGCATCAGCATCAGCATCAGCATCAGCATCAGCATCATCATTCACATCCTCATCATCATCAAAACCAGCATCAACAACGTTAACACCAACTTCAACACCAGCAGCATCATCAGCATCATCAGCATCAGCATCATCATCATGATCAGCAGCATCGCCATCAGCATCATAATCGGCATCATCAGCATCATCATCGTCATCGTCATCATCATCATCATCATCATCATCATCATCATCATCATCATCATCATCATCATCATCATCATCATCATCATCATCATCATCATCATCATCATCATCATCATCATCATCCGCATCCTCATCCTCCTGCTCCTCCCTGCTATATATCCTCCTCTTCTCCTCAGACAGCATCATCGCCACCTCCTCCTCCTCCTCCTCCTCCTCCTCCTCCTCATCCTCCTCCTTCTCCTCCGCCTCCTCCTCCCCCTGACGAGGACGAGGAGCAGCAGCTCGGGCCCCCAAGAGGCGCGGCGGCTCCAGCGGGCGCTGCGGGCTCTCCTCGCGAGGCGCCAGGCGGAAGGCCCCCTCCTCGAGCGGCAGGCCGGGCGGCCCGGGAGACGGCCCCGGCGACAGCGGCGAGGGGGGCCGCGTGTCCAGCTCGGAGGCGGTGCTGGGGGTGTGGGGCTCGGTGCACCTGCGCGCGGGGGCCGAGGCGAACGTTCTCTTATGCGGCGCTTCGACATTGGGCGGAAATCGGGTGTTGCTAGAAGTGCCCCAATCCCAAGGTGCCCCCAGCTTTTCGCGCCATTTTGGAGCCCCTGGGGTCCTCTGGGCCTAGTGAGGGGTGCCCTGGGGGCCGCCTGGGCCACCCCGAGAATCCTGGGGGTACCTTGGGCCAGGGGTACTTCTAGCAACACACAAGGAAAG